TATATATTAAAAGAAAGTAAAGACCATTAGATAAGTGCAAGCAAGTTTCCTCAAAAAGAAAATAGGAACCATGCCCAGGAAAGCTGTTGGGTGTTTTTTTGTTCCTTTTTTTTTTTTTACCTTTCTACTCCATTCAGTCCACATTTTTTTTTTTTTTACATAGTAATTTCTGAAGCAAAATAAATTATCTACCATCTGCTATGTCGGGTAAAAGTCCTACCTAGCATCTTCTCGGGAACTACTAGAACAACACCTTTCTTATGGACTAAGTGAAGTGGTATCTCACCAGCGATATGAACTCTTTTGTAGCTGCATGTAAACATACCTTTCGATTAACATTTAAAATGTGTAGAGTGAATCATAACATTACGGAGAAGCAGAAACGGAGCTGCCGAAGGAGAGCTGCACTGGTGGTAGTGAGGGGAGCGAGAGCCGGTTCGCTCGGACACACACACGCAATCTGGCAATGGGATCTTATCTGCGAAGTGTGGAGGGATGGTTGAGAAGGCATCCGTTTGCGAGCAAAGCTTGAAGGACACAAGCCGAGATTCTCTGTGCACACTGTCCGCTTTGATCAGAATTGACTTGCGCTACTGGGGTCGCACTGTAACAACCGCACAATGGAGGGATCACTCTTGGCACCTTTGATAAACTCTTCCAGCGACAGTTTACCTGAAAGGGAGGAAAACCAAAATGGAAATAATTAAAAAGAAGTCAGTTGCTGCTGCTACTGTTGCTGTAGCTTAAAAAAATGCTTCTCACTGAAGCAACATACGTATATTTAATCTATCGCAAAGGCATCGAGGGGAATTTAGTGCAATGCACAGCAGCCAAATCCTACTCAAGCCCTTAAGCCCAGATGCATTTTTCTTCTGCAAAACAATCTAGCATAACAATTGTTATTTTTTATTTAAAAAGACAGTACCAAATATAAAACCAACTCTTCTAATATCATTTGGCAGCTTTTTGCCCAGAACCAGACTATACAAATTATGTGACACATGAACACAAGGTATGGTACCTGAACACATATACGCTTTGAAAATTATGCCCATATTACTAAGACATTTTAAACCTAAGTATCCCAAATGTATCCACTTTGCACCCTCTCAGTTTGTTGTGACGTGTAGGGCTGAGCAGTGATGATTTATCCTGTGCCTACAAGCCACTTGCTGTGCACTGCGGCGTGTACAGGGACAGGACCTGCTTCATGGGCAGCAAGAAAAGCCAGCCTCGGGAGAGCCACCTGTTGCCACGTGTTGCTCCCGAGTCTTTCTGGTTTATGCGTTTTTGGTTTAGGTCAGAGGCACTGACTTAGACCCCATAACAGTCTGAGGGTCCAAAAAGGTGATCTCTGGAGGAGCACCATGAGGAGCAACCAGCCCAGCATCCCCTGGCTGCAACAGTCCCGTGGCATGGCACGGCAAGGAGGAAAGGTTCCATCTGGTCTCCCAGACCTCATTCTGGGGCAACCCAGCCTCCTGGCAGTTTTTTCCTGAGCTCAGTCCCCTGCACAAATGCCATCAGGAACCTGTGAGCAGCCTCTGCCTTGCCTGCTATCACCAATACTCTCCTGCTTCAGCGCTCTGAACCATGGCAGAAATAGACCGTAGCAATATTAATGAGAAATGAAACGGTTTTCCCTACGAACTGGAGAAGGCAAGCGTTTGCTGCATCCTTGACACCGTGTCCAGTGGTCTCCCATCTACCTCGTGCTCCCAGTACAACCTACCCCCAGCCTCACACAACACCCCAGGGCCATCCTTACCCAACCCATACTGCTCCGCTCGAGACAGGTAGGACGCACGCACAAACATCTTGCACTTGGCACCTGCCTGCTGCCACTTTTGGCCATGTGTCCCTGAAGGGAGGGAGGCACAAGCATATTGTGCTGGTTTTCACCGGCCCCAGGATGCTCCCAGCCTGCCGTGGAGACAGGGAGAGGACTGACCTCGGTGGCCAGCACCTGAATCAGGTTGAACAGGGAGGAATGAGCAAACCTTCCTCTTGTAGAAATTACAGAAGTTCAAAAACCCGTGGCACACTTCTGTCCTAATTTCTGGCTTTTAAGCTAATGTTCCCAAAGCAAGCGTTTTCTTAAGTTTTTATCAGCCTGAAAAAGAGCACTCATAACTATCAGGACATTTATTAGTTTTCCTCTCTTTTTGCAATACTTAAAAGCAAAGCAGAAATCAAAATCTATTTGTAATGTCCAACAGACAGATGGGGAAGAAAAAATATTTCCAGCCACGAAGAGCACACATGCTTGCCGGTGCGCAGACTTTATGCTTGGCACTGCATGCCTTGCGGGGCTGGTATTTTACTGGGAATAGGATGACTATTTCAGCGACAAAGTGCAACAGATGGAGGATGTATATAGCCGGTTTCGTGACCACTACTCTGTCACACATCTGCACGCATCGCGACTTTCCGCAGAACAAAATACTTTAATCATGTTATTTTAGGGCCTTCCACATGTGAAGTCAGGGGATGAAGTGCTAGTTTTGATGAAGTCAAAGGTAAAACACTCGAGGACTTCAACAAGGCCAGGAATTTGCCCTGGGGGCTGCAGCAGCAGATACCAAAACGCAGCCATAAAATTCTCTTAAATAAAAACCCTTCTATACATAAGCTCATATTTTTCCAGGTCTCCCTATCTCAGCACTAGAACCAAATCTTTGCTCCACTGAGCACATCAGTAGGATACAGCTCCTGATTTCAACATGGTGCAGCTGCCACCTTGGCCACTGCTGGGGTAATTCCCAGGGAAAGCTCCACCTCGACTGGGATGAGAGAAAACACGTTGGCAGGCTGATAGGCACAGGAAATTGCTCAATTTTGGCTGTGTTTTTCAAGCCTAAGGAAATGAGCGAGCTCAGGTGGAGGGGTCGTGATGGCTATGCTCTCAGACAATTTATCAAGTGGCTCCCATAATTGGCTCAGGAGCTGTTACATTCCCCCTACATGCACACTGCAACAGAGTAAACTGCAGGACCACGTGTGACCATGTGTAGACATACACATGCCATAAACATGCACAGAAAATAAGTATCATGGACCCAGGGGAATTTTTGCTTTTGGGTACCAAACCACATCCCCGACCCATGTTACTGATGACAAGCCCAGGACTGCGACCCTATCAAGGGCAACGGGAACAAAACGTTGTGCCTCGTTCGTGCTATGTCCAGAGAAAATAACCCAAAGACATTGGACTCAGGGGAGTTTCAGAGGAGCCTTTACAGAAGGGGATTTACCCATTAAATGCTGGGGAAGGACTGCTCCCCTCCCATCCCTTCACCCCCCAGCAGGAAAAGTCTTTCACCTGCTGCCCACTTATCCACCCTATTTATTATAGACCAGAGATGCTCACCGAGGCCAGGAAGAGAACAGAGGTACCAGTGGGGACACCCCTGCCCTCCACCTGCCCCCGCCCAATACCATCATCTGCTTTGACCAGCACTGGGCTAGAAAACTTGTATTTCTAGAACCTATGAAGGGGTGCCTGTGGAGATCCTACCATCGTTGTTTGTGTCCATCTGTCTGAAGATCTTGTCTGTTCGCTTCTCGGGAGTGGATTCATCTTCTGGCATTTTCATTACTGATGAAACCATTTTGTAGATTGCCTGAGTATTAAAAAAAAAAAAAAAAAAAAGAAGAAGAAAAGATATAGGAAAAACACAACCCAAACAAAACAGCATGAGGACTGAGAAAAAGAATTTAAGCCTGTAGCAATAAAAAAAGGCAGCTGGCCCTGGCAGGCAGCTGTGGGATTTATAAAGCAAAACAAATAGGAATTTCTGACTGCAGCTTTTTTTATTTTTCTTTCCTGTATCCATTCACACTTCAAAAGAAGCTTCCGCACCACTGGGTCAGTTTAACTGAAAGTCAGGGTCTAGATTAATGTGCAAGCAGGACTGAGCTAATACAGGCAGCAAGGGTGTGTGATTCTCTTTTCTGCAACTGGGCTAAGCCATCGCCTCTTCAGCTGGCGCTCAACACACACTCAGATACGTGTATGCATATAGGGTGTTGTATGGATTACAGGTGAATATGAATATATAGGAATAGGAGTTGTTTTTCTTTGTGGATGGGTAAGGAAATGCATCTTCAGACTTACAAGAATGTGAATAAAGACAAGACCTCTTTAGGACATCTGCAGTCCTAGCCCTCCTCCTAAATTATCCCTGCTCAGCCATGAGGACCAACCGCTGGGGCACTGGCTGGATGCATTACATGCTTCCCAGTCCCCCTTGCAGTGCACTGGAGACACATCTCAGCTGCAGAGCGGATGGCAAGCAGCCTGCTGCCGAGGCCGAGCCCCGGCCGACATGTGGGGCGGGGGCACAGGGGGCTCTGCCCCACGGTACAGCCCATGGGCTACGTGCCCCCAGCCTTCAGGAGATGAAGACATGCTACAGCCTTTCACTCAGAGCTCATGTTGACTCAGATTTGAAGTTTCAAAGTATTAATTCTGAGATTAATCAGGTCAGTAAAATTTGCATTTAGGGTTTTTTGATCCCATCAGCACGCCACTAAGAAATCCCCAGGGAGAGCTGCAAGATTTTGGCTGCGGGACAGTTGCACAGCACCCTGTTTGTCTCTCAGGCTCTTTCCTTATTTACATCTCATAGTTCCCACCATGGGCCCCAGTGTCCTTTTGTGGACCACAGGCTCAGGAGCCTCCCTGGGGCAGAAGGAACCCAGCCTAGCACATCCCTCCTCTCCAGCTCCAGCTGTCTCAGGTTAAAGAGGTTACAGCAACATGAATAAAATATAAAACAGAGACAATGCCTCACCTGCACTATTTCTAGCATTTCCCCACGGCTGATGTACCCGTTGCCATCCAGGTCGTACATACTAAATGCCCACTTCAGCTTCTGTTCCAGCTTGCCCCGAGAGGTAACGCTCAGGGCGATGATGAATTCCCTAAAGTCAATCGTCCCATCGCCGTTGGTGTCAAAGGTGCGGAAGACGTGCTCCGCAAACTTTGATGCATCGCCATAGGGGAAAAAATTAGCGTATATTTTTTTGAACTCTTCCACAGTCAAATGACCTGTTGGGCAATCTTTTAGGAAGCCCTTGTACCACTCCTGCAACTCGTGGTCTGTGAACTCAGTATTCTCGCGCAGGTCCTGGAGCACCTCGGGGCGCAGCTTGCTGTTCTGCTTCCCCATCCTCTTCTGGATCCGGGTTCAGTGGCTGCAAAGCGAGAGAGCATCCGCCTGAGCTCCGGCCCCACTCGCTGGAGAGGGGCTGGGGGCAGGCAGAGCCCTGTGAGAAACGCAGACCCTGCCCAGGGCAAGGGGGAAAGAGGAGAAAAAGGATGTTATAAATCACTAGGAAAATATCTCATTTCATCTGGACTCTTGTCCCCTCCTCTAGGCTCTCTCAGTTACTATTATGCCATGGAAGGGCAGGGGAAGGCAGTTTGGGAGGGGCTATTTGGGAAATATTAACCCTCATTATTAATCCTTATTATCTGGGAAATAATAATCCTCATGATTTGATTTCTCTGCTACAATCCTACTCCTCTGTCATATGGTTTGCGATGCCCAGGTCTGGATCCCAACTCTTGACCCACCCCAACAGGCTGATCTGCTGCAATGACCAAGCAGGAAGGGACAGCAGCGGCAATGAAAAGTAAAACCCATCTATTCAAAAGTGAAAGTAAACAGGGACGAAGCGAGAGGCAGGAAGGGCAGGTGACTCCGTGCCAGCTGCATTCACATCATCCAGATCCTCTTTGAAACCTCTTGGCTCCCTCCTCCCGTGACAGCAGCACCAGCACAAGGGACTTCATCCTTTCCAGCAGATCGCGACCCTCTGCCTCCCCAGACAAGCAGAGGAAAGGGGTTTTTTAAAGCAAAATGTTCGGCAAAGCAACTCCTTCCAGGTTTATTGGGGTTTATACCTTTATATAAGCTTATTCAGTAAGTTCAATATTCCCCAGTGTGGGCAAAAGGGCTTTTCAACCTCAGGATTTTATCAGAATTTTAGGAGGGGGCTGGATTTGTCCAGTGACAGGGGACTGGACAAATTTTTACTCCTTTGACAGTGCCCATGATGCACAGGTGACTGTGCAGGTGAGACTGCCCAACAACAAGAAAGGTCCTTCAATAAAACGAAAGATGATCAATCGGCACTTAGGAAACAACAGGAAAAAAGATACCATGATGTATTTTTGGCTTTATCAATTTACAGCCTTTCATGGCTTCCCATCAATACCAAACTGAGCTGCAAAGCAAGAGATTGAGCTGCATCTCCTTCCCCAGACTCAAGAGTTTTATTCACAAGCTTTGCACAAAGTCACATCCAAACGCCTTTGACTGGTCTGGCATAAATGACATTTCTCTGTACAGTCCGTTACGCCCCTGTTAGGCTTGCTGACAGCTGGAGCAGAAGGCAGGTTAGTAACAGGCCAACACCGCGCGGCTACTCACAATCTGCAAGAGCTGACCAACAAAGCGTGCAGAGACTGGGAAAAATATAACAGGGGCTAAGCACTTTCCAGAGAGTAAAATTCCCAGGCATGCATAAGAACCTAAAAAAAAAAATGTTAAAGGTCAGCAAAAAAGTAAGTTGCTGTACAGCAGAGAGATTTTCAACAGCTGAATTTAAGCTCATTTTATTTGTATTCCACTTAGTCTCTGTGTCGCCTCAGCAATGTAAAAAATCCACATCCTGCTCTGTGGCTTAATGCTCAGAGACAAAAACCAGCCAGCTGCTCATTAGTTCAATGCATCGGGCTTAACGGAAAACTGTGTTATCATTAGCACTTCTGTTTTTGACAAAAGCTGCCAATATTTCAGCTCCAAAGCTTTATTTTTGTCCATTATATTGCGGAGTGTTGTCCGGCCCCCTGACACACCTCTGCTTGCTCCCAGTGTGCAGGGATGCTACAGCTCCCGGTCCTGGCCAGCATCGTCGCTAGAAGAGCACTGGGCTGCCCTCCAGTTAAACCACTAACTCTCAGCTGCTCCTGCTGCCTTTCCATCTTTGAATCTCCCCTGCTCCAGATAGTCATCCTTGCATTGCCGAAGGCAGAAAACACAATATGCTACTCTGCTGCAGTCAATTTGCAGAAAATGGTGGCTTGGAGCAAGTAACGGGTTGACCGTGGACCTTTTCTTTAAGAGCAGAAATTGTAACACTATGTTTCTGTCCTTGGGCGAGGAGGTGTCTTTCGGTCCCGTCCTTCAGTGAATCCCCTTGGCTTCATGATGCCTGGTCCAAAAGCAGTCCCTGCCTTGCTGGCAGCTGTCTCGGACTTCCCTGGGAGAGGAGCAGGAGGAGCAGCACAACCTGCTTAATGCAGGAGCTGGACTTCAAGCGGAAATAAGCTCAGCTTTAATCATGCACAGGGTTGGGGAACACATGGTAAAACTTCCAACTCCTGGCAGTTAAAAGAGGTTTGAAAAGGTCTAGTGCCATTTCTCCCTGTTCCTGTAATACTTTGATCATTCCTGTTCCCTTAAAAATAGAGTCCCTAGACAACAGAGAGGTAAGATGTTAACTTCATTTATTAGATTTCACTACTTCTACCAGCAGTAAGATATATCCTGTTATTTGGATGGATGCTCATTTAATATCCGCTTCAAAAGCTTTATACTCAAGTAGTCTTTGCATTCAACAAATTACAGGTTATTTCAGCCCTTCCTCCTCTTTTACACCTTTTTATATCAGAAAAATAATGCGCAATGCTCTGAACACAACCCTTCTTTGCATATGAGCTTTCTGAAAGGCTTCATAATGTGTTCAACCCAAATGTAACCCTGCAGTTGTTGTAACCAATTTGTTACGAATAATTAAATAACCAACATTAACATTAATTTATTAAAGCCCATCGGAAAAAAAACCAGCTTCAATGTGAATTATGTTGCAGGTAGCTCCTCCAAAATGAAATGCCTAAATATCTCATTAATCATGACAGCAACCCCTGCTGCTGGCATCCAACTGACATTTCATTTGATTGCTGTAAAATGCTTTCATCAAATCACTTTCCAGAGGCTCAGTGGCTGATTTAGCCACAAGACCACTCAGAGGATGGCTGCTAATGGAAATCACAGGGAGTGGGTCTGGGATACTCAGGTCAGTCCTCTGATTCAGGCTGTAGGGGTTTTTTTAATGAGTCTGTACCAGCCAAATCACTTGCTGCAGTGGGTGTAGAAGGCAAAGGAGGAGAGAGACTTCCTTGCACCCAATGTTGCCCCAGGCAGTCAGCAGAGACCTAACTCCAGCACAGCCTGCCTGTCCCTCATTTCCCACCATGCCAGGGTGAAATCCAGGGAAGTGATGCCACACACATTGCAGCGAGGTCCGTCCCTACTTAGCCTGATGAGCATCCGGCGCTATCATGGC